CTCGCGGCGCGTTTCTTTCGTCGGCCCGTTGTAATTTTAACGTCCACGAGGCGTCCGGAGCCGCGAGCGCACGGGAAACTCGATCCTCGTCGACGTTAACTGTCCCCCTGTAATGCGTATTATAATATAACACGAGTTGCTTTCATGAATGATGCATAGCCGAAGGAACACCGGGACCCTGTAGTGGAGCATCCACTTCAGATCAGCCAGGCAAGAGAAAATTGAATCTTAAGTGCCACCCCCTCCCCCCAGTCTGAAAAGCTCGATTCACTTGCCGTCGGCCCCCCACAGTAACGAGCACCATCTTTTTTCGACACCCGATACCCCTTCGAAGGACCCCCCCACCCCTCACGTGTCTCTTGTTACCGAAAATCGTGCTCCCAGACCCAAGAAAATTCAATTCGATGCTCCCAGTAAAAGTGGAGCGGTCCAAAACAAAGAAAAATTGACAATTCGAGTTGTTCGATATTTGTTTCCCACCCTGTATACTTAGACCGCTCGACTTTTACTTTTGAGCGCCCATCTCACGTTTGAAATTGGTATATGTACATACAATACGCGTGTATACGTCCAGGGTGTTCGGTCTAAGACGAAAATCAAGAAAACTAACGTGTCGATTTAAAAAATATTTTAATGATAGATTCTAGAGCCCAAAATACGTCGAAAATGAAGAATAGTAATTTGTCGATTGAGGCTTCCTTTAAGAGTTATCAACACTTGAGTCTGTGGTTAGCGTGCAGGTTGCCTATCCACAGGCGCAATTGTAGGCGTCGATAACTCTTCCAACGGAGCCTCGATCAACGAATTCCTGTCCCTCATTTTCGTCCTATTTTAACACCCTGCATATGCACCACGATATACAAAGTATAAACTAGTGGAAGACGAGATGTCGCCACCTGCAAGTCACTTCCCCCCGAGCGTCGACATCTCGTCTTGTACGCAACGCGTGGGGATCCTGTGCTATCCGTGCGTGTGTTTTATCGCGTCTATCGCGAGCGTTTATCAGTTTTCGAGCACCAGCGATAATTAATCGTTCGTCGAAAGAAACACGCGTTTGAAATTCGAGCGATCTCCTCCCGCGCCTCCTTTTACATTAATCATCGGGTTTAGGTGCGACGAAGAAGATCGATCGCGAATTAATCGGTAACAGCCTGTCGGGTCCGCGTCGATTACGGCCAGCGGGATGATTAATCGATCCGGGGGTGGGTTGAACACGCGGTGAAATTCCGGGGGAGTCCCGAAAACCTTTCGTAATTATTTTCTGGTCGAACGGTAGGCCGTAATTATCGCGTGTACGCGTCAGCGGCAACGTCGTGAAATTAATTACCGGTTCAACAGGTAAGTTTGCCGACGAATCCGGGGGGCTGTAAACGTCGCTGCTGGACAGGCTGTCGTTTGTCAATTTTTACGACCGACTATATCGCGTTGTTGATCGCTTGTCAAACCCGGCGATACACACAAAGACGTTACATCTTTCGTACGGTCTAGATCTCGTATTAAATTCTTCCCACAATACTTTGCTAAATGTCACGCGTACATGTAAATATGTCTTGTACATTTTGTAACATAAACACTGTCGGCACCTGTTGTGTGTGTGGCTCGTCCCGTAGAAACAGTTCTCGCCCGTTTAAGGTAAGGCCTAAAACAACAACCGTCAAACGTACTGTTTTATTTGTCTGTCTATTTTTTCTATATCGTTCTCCCCTCAGAAAGCCTGCTCTAGCTCGGATTTAGTTTTTTTCCTTGCCTCTTGGGAAATGTGTTTTCTTGGCACTGTAAAAACCTTTCTCTTACACTCCTGTGCTACCAACGCATATACGTATACGATTTACTTCTAATTTTTTTTTTTTCTCTGGATCGTTTGAATGCAAAAACCTCTTCACGATTTTCAGACACGACTCGCGCTCGACGGGGGATTCGTTCGATATTCCCAATTACTTTTACCTTTCAGCGACGTTAAAATGTCCCGGAGGGACGAGGACCGTTTTTAATTGCTCCTCGTCCACGTAAATCTACTAACCCCCCTCTCCTCGATCCCTGTTTCTCTCGATAACACTTGCTTTTCAGTGGCCCTCACGACTCGAGTGCCGCTGAAATCACGGGGGATTAATTAAACCGGAAGATACGGTTGTGAAATTGCTGGGAAAACATTCTTCTACCCCACCCTCTTCCCCCCCTTATGAGGCTCACTCATTTTAATGAATATACTTTTTTCCACAGCGAAATATTGTCGACCGTGTTACTACTCTGTAAACATTGTGTCGTGTGTGTGTACTGTCGAAGAATTCCACATGTGCAGAACAGATGATCCAAAGCTACTTACCCGGGAAATCTACACTAATCGCGAAAATTATCCTCTTTTGCTTTTCGTTGTTCTAAATTTCTAATTCGTATTGTCTTAAGCGGCCCGGCGATATTAGATATCAGTAATAATCTCAGGTTTTGATTAGAATCCTCCTCTTCTCTTTTTGCTTTTTCGGTACAGTTTCCCCCCTTCCCCGAGCCTAATTATTCTAAATTTCTAATGCATGTGTCCTAAGGCGATATTATATATCAGTAATATTCATATTTTAATTGAATATATCCTCTCTTTTCGCTTTTCCCCACTTATAAGTGTTTTTTTTCCCCTTCTGGACTAATTATTATACCGTATTATAATTATTCTAAATTTCTAATTCGATTGTTTTAAGTGCCCCACGATATTATAGATCGATAATATTCAGATTTTGATTAGAAAAAACCGATATGAAGTTTTTTCTGAGTCCCGGGGAATCGAACCTGGGACCCCAAGATTGGGAGTCGAGCGTCCTAGCCACAGAGCCACGGAGGACTCTAACGTAACCCTTTCACTGACCATACTTTTTTTCTTAGCTCTCATACCGTATCACAAAGTAATCTACACCAAAAATTTAGATTTAGAAGCCTTTTTAAGACGCGGGCCGCTCAAAACACGCGATCAAAATTATCGCCCTTCCCCGAAATATTATTTAGAGCGTGAACTACCGATCGTGAATTAATTAAATTTAATTAAACGCCCGACTCCGCCGTGCTCCCGGAAGTTGGGTAAACGCGCGAAAATTCACGGGGAATCGGTCCTCGTTCAAACACACAGAATGATCGATGTGTCGAAATTGCTGACCAAGTTACACACGAGTCTAGACAGTCGCTTATAGAGAATTACAAAACAACAGGAAACACGACGAACTGTTGGACGTTTTTTCTTCTCGATTTCCCTCATCGTAATCGTGTTCAGGATTCCATATACAGGGTGTTCCATAAGTAAAAATAAGACTAAAATATTACATAATAAAAAATCCATAAATTCCTTGCTAAGAAGCCATGACAAAAATATCAATTTTTATTTACCAAAATTTTGTTTAAAAAAAAATATTTTTAATGTAAAATTACGTGGATAAACATTTCTTTAGAAGAGTTTAGTTTTTATTATTTGTTTTGGGGTGCTGAAGTATATTCTTTCTTCGATGATAAATTTTTATTTTTATACAATTTTAAACTATTGCAAAAATTTATTTTATTTTATTTTCTTATTTTCCTGAATCTCAACCTAGTTTCACAGTTATAATTTCGTAAGAAATTATTTAGGAATTTTTTGTTATATATCACTTTAGTTTCATTTTTACTTGTGGAACACACTGTACATAGATCTCTATAAGTAATCGAAACGGTTGCAGTCAAGCTCTGTGACAAAAATTTGAAAATTTCAGGGCGATTTAGAAGTTGTTTATCGTGATTAGAATTTAGTAAAATAGTTTGTACGGGGTTCTGCATGCGTTAGTGGGAGTTTCGAGTATCGCGGCCCTCTGTAGGATCCACGTAGGATTAATCGACGAGACGAGAGGTCGAGAAGTAGAGAAACACGTGATATCTGACGACGAGATCAGAATAATGGTAGATTGTAATTGACGTAGGCCCAATGTAGAACAGAATTAGGGTAGGTGAGCCTAGGGTGCAACAATGTAGTGTGTGCTTGTGGTGTGGATTTCAGCAGGCGTACAGTCAGTACATCCCAGCGACAAGAGCCCAAGTATCGGGCGCCCGAGGGGGGCAGACTGGGGCTGCGATGGACGGGCCTTACCTCGTCGAGGCCTCGTTCTGAGCGGCCTGAGTTTCTTGACAGTAGTGTAAAAGCACGCTAAAGCCCACCGATCGACACACAGAAAACAAACTAAACCGGATCAGAGTCAAATAACACGAACGGCAAAGCGAAATTGAAATTACGGATCGCAATTGAGCGATAACACGGTGTTTTCGAGTCAAGAACCGAGATAGAGAGATCGAATAGAGACCTCCGTGAGGATCGCTGAGAGAAGAACACGGACGAATGGAATATCTTAAGCGTAAAATAATTAGTGTCGAGAGTGGTGAGAAAACAGACAAAATTATGACACAAGACACACACAGTGAGAAATTTCCATAATTGTAAATCCAATGAAATTCTTCTATTTCCTCATTTCCGTGCCAACCCGTACGACGACCGAACCTGATCGCCTTGGAAACTCCTGGGCCCCCGCGATGGCGTCGTCATCGTCCCACACGTCGTCGTCGTCCCGGACGTCGTCCATCGTCCATCGTCCGTCTGGCCATCCACGAAAATTAAACGTCCTCTCTGTTCATTCGAACGAACACGAATAACGCAACAACGACGAAAAAAAACAAAAAAAAAAAATGTACGAACGAATTCGTAACGGATTTGGTAACAAACCCCGGATTGGATCTCTCTGTCGCGCGTCCTCGCTTTTTCTTTTCCTCTCTTTCACGTTGGGGGATCTCGTGGACGTTTAAATTACGAAAAAAAACAAAAAAAAAAAAAAAAAAATAATACACGGTGTATTTGTGTATATACACACGACACGATATAATGAGAATCCGATGATGGCGAATATACTATATGTACGTGCACACAACCCCGGAATAAATCGACGAAAATTTAACGAATAACAACAAAACGATTGTCCATCGAGTATCGTCCGCTATTGTAGAGCTTGTCTTATCAGCTTACTTCGAACGACAACAAGGATAGAGTGGTGCTCGTGTATGGGGATCGTATACAAGTGCGGACAAAGGTAAAGAAAACCGTGTTTACCTGGAAATCATTTTGGATACGATGATATATTATTATTGTACATTATATATACTATGTTGTAACGTTTCATTGTCTATCGGGTGCACGCGCGCCATGACACGCGCTGCCATCTCGCGTGTAATGCGTGTACTAGATGTATTGCATGGAGAACGAGACATCGAACGTTGGGAAATTTTTGTTGGGACGGTACTAGTGTTAGAATCTAGAATCGTGGACGAGGTATATGAGTAGAACTTACAATCTGGCTGCCATAATGACCTGAAAATTAGGAGTGGCGCCCTCTAGGCTGCAGACATTTATCAGGGAAATTTAAAAATGTCGAATCGTTCTAGAAAAATTATTTTTGGCTGCGGGGGTCATTTATAGTCATTTTTGGTGATTAGGCATACCCCCAAAATCCTAACCAGTTTCGAGAAAAAAATTCAATAAGTGGATAGATTTTTCGGCGAAATTAAAAAATTTCGAATCGTTCTAGAAAAATTATTTTTGGCTGCGGGGGTCATTGATAGTCATTTTTGGTGAGTAGGCATACCCCCGAATTCCTGACCAGTTTCGAGAAAAAAATTCAATAAGTGGATAGATTTTTGGGCGAAATTAAAAAATTTCAAATCGTTCTAGAAAAATTATTTTTGGCTGCAGGGGGCATTGATAGTCATTTTTGGTGATTAGGCATATCCCCGAAATCCTATTCAGTTTCGAGAAAAAAATTCTTTACCGGAATATCTGACCATACCGTTGATTTATTCCCCTGAAAGTTCAAGTGTATCTTTAAAACGTCATAACTTCTGAACGGATTGGTGGATTTTGATTTTTAAAAATGCAAACAACGTGTATTTTAGTGAAGAATATGTAGGAATTCCAAAAATGATCAAAAACTTGATCTTTGACGTCGTAAAATGAGGGAGAGCCCATAAAAATGGTCCAATATTCAAACAGCCATAACTTCTACAATAGTGAATATATTTCAATGAAATTTTTCTCTGAAGTAGAGCTCATAGGCACCTACGAAAAAGTAAGAAACAACTTTTCTGTAGGGCATCAAACAAAATTACTAAAAATGAAAAACGAATTTCTAAGAAAAATCGACAGGGGGTAGGTGCCTAAATTTTCCAGCGAAAAAAAAAATTTCAAATCATTCTGGAAAAATTATTTTCCTGCCCGGGGGTCAATCACAAGCATTTTTGATGAATAGACATACCTTCGAAATCCTAACCAGTTTCGAGAAAAAAATTCAATAAGTGGATCAATTTTTCGACAAAATTAAAAAATTTCAAATCATTCTAAAAAAATTATTTTTGGCTGCGGGGGTCATTGATAGTCATTTTTGGTGAGTAGGCATACCCCCGAATTCCTGACCAGTTTCGAGAAAAAAATTCAATAAGTGGATCAATTTTTCGACAAAATTAAAAAATTTCAAATCATTCTAAAAAAATTATTTTTAGTTAGTGGGGTCAATTATAATCATTTTTGGTCAATACATATACCCCAAAAATCCTACGCATTTCCAAGAAAAAAATTCGAGAAGGTGGACATATTTTTCGTCGAAATTGAAAAATTTCAAATCGTTCTGAAAAAATTATTTTTAGGTTCAAGGGTCATTTGCAATCATTTTTTATAGATACACATACTCCCGAATTCTTACGTACTTTCGAGAAAAAAAATTCTTTACCAAAAATAAGGTCATATCTAATGATTTTATATTTCCAATGAATACATTGGATGCAAGGTTTGCTCGTATACCTCGTCAGTGCTAGCATCAGGGGATTTTCAAGTTATTAAAAATATAGTACGCGGGGGCGGTCGAACGATTCCACGTATAGCTAAAGGCTACTTGTGCAATAATTTAGTTGAGTGACGAGTACCTAGTTACTACTAAACGGTTCTGCCTATAGTTAGACAAACAACTAGTATTTAACAATGTTATAAAAAATATTAATCAATTTTCATCAAAGAAAATTATTTAATTAACAAATACAAAATTGCAAAAATAAAATTTTAAATAGTTCCAAAAAGAGCAAAGGAGCATTACACGCGAATATGGCGCGTATCATCGCCCGCTTGTACAGTGTTCCACATTGTTTATAAGATGTGTACCTCATAAGATACTTGTGTGACCATTTGGAAGAATACGAGCTTTTCTTGTCCTTCGACGGAAGGACCAGGACGAAGGACACACACGGGTTCCCCCCAAAAAATGCATCCCTCTGGTGGTCGAGAACATATCGTGTCGCGTGGCTGATCCCTGGATTGGCTTCTGGGTGTACGCTTATCCCGAGAAACACTGCCCCTTGTTGCTTCTATACGCTTTCCCTTGATTACCCCCCATTTTGATTTCGTTTCTGGCAACCGTTCGTCTCTCAGGTTACACTCGATCGCCCACTTTTTTTTATCGGGGATTCCCCTTCGTCGTTCTTCCTTTTACTTTCCTTTCGCGGTCGTCTAAAAAAAAACACGTGAAATCCACCCCCTTTGGCATGTTGCCTACTCCCTGGAACCCCTGTTCGTTGCGGCTGAATCTTGATCTGGCTTCTCAATTATGCATTCTCGCGCTTCTTCGCTTCCCTCGACCCTCGATCCGACTTCCACCCTGTTTTTTTTACTTTAAACGAGCTTTTTATCGAGCGACGTTGCACCTAGGAGAATTAAAACACAGAGAACCTCGAGAGACTGGGAGAGAGATTAGGAAGTAGGAAGCGTTCAGCAAGGGAAAAGGAAATCAACGAATCAGGGTAAACTCACCCCCCACGGGAAGTTTGCGGTACTTGCAAATCACGTTTACGGCGCTTTTTACTGCCTCGACGGTTTTCCAGATCCCCCGTCTCGTTCCGTAAGCTTCCGAGGACGAAAGAACGAAGAAACGACTGGGATAAAGGGTCACAGATTGTAAATTTCGAGGTTAGACTCGGTTAACACTTTACCGACCGGTGGTTGTCTTTGATAACGATATTTACTTTACCGATCGTTGACCATCGTCGGTAAAACAGTCGATTAACAGGTTAGCGGTCGGTAAGTATCGTCGGTAAAGTAGATTATCGGTCGGTAAGGGGTTGAATTTTCTTGCAAGGCGCGTTGCTATAGCGATCTTATCCGGTTTGATTAATGCAGTAGGTCGTGAAAGACCGGTAGATGGGATTCGAAATTTGCGTCGCTCCTCTCCAGCTCTTATCCCCGGCACCCATAGTCCCAGGTAATGCGTTTTCCTTGTACCGCGTTAATACGACGCGAGACGTGAGTCGGTTCGCGCGATTCAGGACAGCTCTAGCCGAGGAAACGGTCCCAGAAATGGACTCCTGCTGCGAGAAAAATGATCGCCTGAAGGATCGATCCTCGGGAAGTGAGTACAATAAGACACGTACGATTTTTATTTCCACCGCGTCATCACTTTCGTTTCAAATGGTTTTATATTTAAACAGCTCGAAATTGTGATGTACAAAATTGTTAGGGGTTAGTGTATCTTGTAAATAATTTTTTAAGCGACGTGTACTTTAATTTGGTACACAAAAATTTGCAAATATCGTTAGCAAATGCCTTCTTTGCACTCACTTGCCCCCGGATGTGCACGGTACCGCACGCTCGCGAGTCAAGATAAAGCAGAATCTGCATTACCGACGGGGATACGAAAGAACGAGGATCGAAGTCGACGATTTCGCCGCTCGAATTCGACCTTCGCGACAGGAAGAGCGACACCAGGCCGATGTCAGCGTCGTGGACGGTGCCGAAAAGGATTAACGACGTCGAGAAGACTCGCACGAATAAGAGAGACAGAGAGGTAGAACCGCATTGCGGTTCACAGACGCCCAACTCTCGACCATTTTCTATATTTTATTTGCATATTTAAGTGGAGTCTCGATATCCTCGACGATTAATTTTTTTCTGAAGCTTATCGACGATGGGTCTTTATTGACCCGGGGGGAGTCACCATTCACGATTTACAATCGTTTTAGATTTTTTTAACGCGATTGCACGTAAGTAGACCTGGGGACAAACAACGTGACAAATTCGTCGCGAAATGGAAGAGTACGAGCGACGGGGCACTCATTTTGCAAAATTAGTGTTTCGAGACGATCATACTTCGTACTGCACCTGGCATGCTTTTGTTATCGATCGATCCAACCCTCTCACCACTTTGTAAATTCTATTTTTTTTTGTTCCTCGCTGTTGCGTATCGCTGTTCTCCTTTTTTCTTACTCGTCACTGTTGGCTCTGTTGCACCGTTGTCTGCTTTTCCGATTTACTCGTCGTTTTTCACGTTTCTCGCTGTTCTACGCATGAATTTCCGTTTCTCTTTGTATTTTTATCGTCTCTGCACGTTGGCCCGCGCGCCTCTTTTCGTTCTCCCCCCCACCCTTCCTCTCGTCTCTCTTCGATCTCAGTTTCGCGATTCTCGACGACGATCTCGAATCGAAGGAAACTCCGTGTTTTAGTTTTTTTTTCAAAATCTCGATATCGTTGCATCTCATTTTCATTTTCCATTTCGACTAACGTTCGTTAGCTTCTTCTCACTTTTCGTTACGATTTTGGAAATTCCAAAAAAAAAAAAAATTTTGGAAATTTCGCTCGAGGAGCTTCGATGGTAAAAGAAGAAACGCGAAACAGAGAGAAATGAAACGAGAAAGAGAAGGGGGAGGGAGAGTGAGGAGGCGTAGAAAGTAGAGTAAAACTCGACTTACGATTATTTTTGTTGAGATTAGAAAATTGTAGAAACAGAAGAGAGAGAGAGAGAGAGAGAGAGAGAGAGAGAGAGAGAGAGAGAGAGAGAGAGAGAGAGAGAGAGAGAGAGAGAGAGAGAGTGAAAGTCGAGAGAATGAGAGGAATGAGAGTATATGAGGCTCCAAATAAGGATTGTTTGGAGGGATTCTTGGAGAAAAAGAGAGAGAGGCAACGATATGTCGAAAGACCCGGACGAAGAGTCTGAATTGAAACATATCCGAAATGCGAATTGTTCCAGGATCTAAAGAAGCGCGGTTCCCACACCTGTGATATGCAGGCCCTACAGCCACTTCCGGTTCCAACCACCACCGCCAACACCGCGTCTGCAATGACTACTTCCGGTGGGCAGCCACCGCTTCCGGTATCGGAGACCGCTTGAGTCGATCGACGAGACCGATCACGATCACCGTGTCCCGCTATTACGAAAACAATATCGCCTCTGACAAAACGACCACCGTCCTCTTCTACTCGATGAAAGATGAAAATAACGATGGCCGACCGGCCGGGAGAACGGTGAGCCTTGTATTCACGATCTTTTATTTGACACGACCTCTGTAAAACGCTTCCACCAGCCACGAAGCGATCTGGGGGTTCCCCCAAAAAATACAACCCGAAACTCTTGCCTTTCCACCGGAATTTCGAACCTAAACTCGAAGCACGTTGTCAAAAAAATTAATTTAATATCGTTTAAAATTTTTGTGCACGCAATTTTTGTTTAATTTGATCCTGGGACTTCCGTCGGTTCACGTTTCCCCTGCCATTAACGTCTCATAACCTTTGCATTGTTTACAGCCACTGTGGGACTGTGGGAGTCACCAGAAGTAGCCTCGAATTATTATTTCGATGGAGAATCGTCCTTTCCGGTCTTTAGTTGGCGAAAGAAACACTCAGAGAATTTTTAATAATCATTGGAAACCAAGATTTCTGTAGATATGCACGATTGCGTGCAGTTTCAGTTCGTATTTGTGCGCCAAGATGCTACTAGCGCACCTGGTGGCCACTATTGGTACTAACGCGTGTGAGGTGAAAAAGTGCACGCGTTGGACACTGATTACGTCATTGTGTGCTGCCACTCACGTTGGCTGGAGACCCCGTCCAATAGTAATCGACGTCACGAGGGCGCCACTAGCGCTCAAGTTGGCTACTATTGGCCACTGTCGTGACACGTCATAGTCTCTGGCCAATGGGTGCAGTGGTAGACGATGACGTACCACGACGTTGACCAATGGGGAACCAGAGTGAGAGATGGTGAATGCATCGTTCTTCTCAGTTTCTTTCGCCAACCTTGTTAAATGCAACGCTTCAGTCCCCCCCTTTTTTGCATGAGACTCGAGGCTTCGCTTTTAAAATTGATTTTGCGCCCGGTCTGTTCGAGTTTCCGCGTCCCCGGGCATAATTTATCGTGGCGTTGTCCTCTTAAATCCACGTCAGCACTCCGCCCGTTGACGTTGATCAAGCTTTATCGCCCCCAGCGAGGAGCTACCCGTAGACACAGGCTTTTCTTTCGCTCCCCCCAAGACGCATCGTCCGGGGGTTTGCTTTCGGGGAAAAACGTACTCGATGGTTGAGACTGTGAACTAGCAATCGAAGATATTCAAAATGATCGAAATTAAGAACAGAGACGAAGGGAGTTAGTCGGAGTCCGATCGATTTCGGGACGATGGCTTCGCCACGCCACTGTCGGTCAACATTAGCGTAGCCTTCGGTCACTGTGTATTCGTGAAACGCCACAAAGCTGGTTGTTCCAGCCGGACCATTTCGAAGATGAAACCCTGGCCACGTTTATTCAGGGATCAAAACAGCAAGCTGAACGTTGACTCGACTCGGACAACGCCGCACCGACCGCATACGCCACTGTACAAATTGAACGTTCGCGCCTCGACTCCGCAACAGCGTTTGCTTCGTAGCCTGGACCACGAATTCTAGTCCTTTAAACGAACGTTTATCCACGTAACATTCGTTTCTACATAATTAAATTAGAGATAACATTGCCAGGGCACTCGAAAGATAGAGACCTTGCAGTTAACCGAGTCGTCTAAAATGGATGAGGTAGTATATCCGAGAGGTAGACTTCGTGCAGTTAACCGGGTTTCTTAAGATGGGCGAGGTAGATCGAAAGATAGAGAACCTTGCAGTTAACCGGGTCTCTTAAAATGACCGAGGTTTACGATGCCTGGTTCCGGGGGGGATCGGTTTGCTGGGATTTCGTTAGAGTCTCTCTGGTTTTGGGGAGTCGAAACTCCGATATTTCGCGGAAGGAAACGAGGAGCGCCTCTTCGGCTCGGGATATATCCTCCCCCGCACTCGACTTCTCATTTAATCGCGTTTACAGTGTAATTCGGCTGGCCGATAAGCTCCCGAGAGGGGGGCGGGGGGGAACCGTACGCGGCAGTGATTTGACCCCGTTTCCGGCTACGAAGCGGATGAATCGGCCAATCATCGATCGTCGAAGCGCGTTATTCGGGAATATCGGCGCGAGAGGGTTCGGAGCGGTTGAAGAGCGACGAAAGGAGCTCTGATCCCCCGGAAACGAGGTCGAAGGCAAATTTGCACAGGGTGAAACACACCCCCACCCCCCTTTCTGCCCCCCTTTGCGGGGTCTCTTCTCTCTCTGGGGGCAATTTCTAGCCCTTTTGTTGTCAATGGTCCATGGTGTTTTGTTCTGGGAGACTTCCAGAAGACTCTCTCAGGAAGTGTGGCGGCCATTTTAATTTAATTGGTGGGGAAAGTTCGAAATTGGGGTTATGTAAGTCTATTATCGTTGAAGTCGGTAATATGGGGTTTTGATATATGGCGGTGTCGGTAAGGTAGACCCCTAGCTCTACCTTATCGATGGTCCAGTCGAGCACTTGTGAGAAAGTCAAGAGCGTGGCCCTCTGGTGGCCAGTGTGTCCAAACTATCTTGCAATAATAGCAACTTTTAACGGTATATTTACTAACTAAATACCCATGCAAACAAACTTTTGATCAAATCAACTATTTTTGGACATTTGTGGACACTACATTGGAGTAGAAAGAAAATACAAAGTTTTCTCACAAAATAAATTTAATTCTCAAGAGTTTGAGAGCTACGAATTCGAGGCTGGTTATCGATGAGGGTCAAGAGCGTTGTTTCGATCAGTCTTTTCTTTCCCCCAAAGAGGACAGAGCTCTTTTCGTCTCCTCGAGTTGTTCCTCGCCCCCGACAAGCGACACTTTCTTCAAGCCTCTGACCGACTTTCCACGAGATCTCACCCGAAACGATCGACAACACGGATCGTTAATTTTCCACCGAACGATCGTCTCTAGCGACCGTAACAGCGGAACGAAAGCTGCGTCACGGGCTGTATTTTTAGAGGCGACGGTCGCTGGAAAATTACGACAACCGGAAGTACGGGTTTCGAGGCTGTTGCAACCGCTGTTGCGGAGGACAATGTTACATGGCGTACGTGTATTGATTTACGAGTGCGTGCGCTGCAACGTTTCGATTCTTGGCAAACGTTTTCGAATTTACTCGCAGAAAAAATACACAAGTTCGCAGAAACCACCTACGAAGACAGTTGTTTGCTGGTTCTTATTTTGCAAACGCAATTTTCCATGCAATTCTGATTTAATATTTCGAAATTTATTAAATTAATTTTTTTTACAATCTAACGAAAGATTATGGTCAGTCTCAACCATCGATTTCTTCTCGAAAGGTCATCGATTCCGGCAAACGAAAGCCCCCAGAAAGTCGCTTTTAATTTCAGCGAAGAAACAGGAAGACGATGTCGACGACGCATTCTCCTGGAGAACGGAAGTTGCTGGTCCTCCGACGACGTAGCGACGAGAAGAGGCACCCAGGAGCTTCGTGTCCCCGCGTTTTCCAAGGACGATCGCCCATTGACTCACCAAAAGCGACCATCGGGAACCAAAAAACAAAAATTAATTATTCTCCGGACAATTGATATTTCTTTTCCCCCGCCCCAACGTCGAAATTTTCACGTGAAAACTACGCCGCTACAAGAAAACGAGAATTGAATCTGCTCCGTCGGTAACGTCGTCCGAAGTTTCTCTCAGTCGGTAACATCGTCGAAGTTTCTCTCAGTCGGTAACGTCGTCGAAGTTTCTCTCAGTCGGTGTGGCTCGAAATGGCGGGCATCGAAAGACGAAACTGAAACAATCGCGAAGTTAAACGTCCCTCGTAGTTTTGTGAAACGATCCGTACGGGTCTTTCCTGGTTTGTGAGTCTCCTAAACTCGGTTAGGTTTTGATCGTAATTTATTAAGGTTAGGGTGAAGATCACAAGTGGGGGAACGTGTAACCAAGAGAAAATATTGTGGAAGGTGGTCGAGAGTCGTATCTCTGTGGAATCGATTGTTCGAGGGTCCCTATGGACTGGCAGAGCGAAAAAGGATACCTCGAAAAAAACGTTTCGAGATGGGAAGATCGATAAAACCGGTGTTCCCCGAATGAAACGCGATACGCGTTGTCGGAGCGTCAGACAGGGACCCAGGGTACCCCTTGGTACTTTAAAAATAAAGTAAGATGATGCCCTCGTTCTTTCAAAACTCTACGGAGAGTGTCCTATTTTCTTTCGTTTTTTGTTCCTCTAGGTGGTAAACTTATCGATCCCACCGTCGCGCGACGATTTAAATCGGCGGGTCGATCGTCGATCGCTCCTCTACGTACTCGATTTAATTTCTTTAATCGTAAGGAATAATGAAACTTGTATACGTAATTTTTGGGTAAGAAATAATTACCAGTACGATGTGCAATTTTTAATTTTACACGTACGAATAAGTTTTATATTTTTCATTTAGTCCCCCCACCCCCCCTCTCCAATTTATCCTTTAATTATTTTCATTTTAGCAGTGTCTTGCTCTCTACGTGAATGAATATTTTTTTTTATTACAGTGGAGCCTTGTTATTTTGGCGAAATTATTTTTTTGTTATAGCAATGCCTTGCTATATTTGTGAAATTTTTTTTTTATTATAGCAATGAATTGCTACCTTCGTGAATTTTTTTTGTTATAGCAATGCCTTGCTACCTTTGTGAAATTATTTTTTTATTATAGCAATGCGTTGCTACCCTTGTGAAATTATTTTTTTATTATAGCAATGCCTTACTACCTTCGTGAATTTTTTTTGTTATCGCAATGCCTTGCTACCTTTGTGAAACAATTTTTTTATTATAGCAATGCCTTGCTACCTTTGTGAAATAATTTTTTTATTATAGCAATGTCCTTTCTACCTCCGCCAAATTATTTTTTTTTCCACCTTCGATGAGATTAAGATGTCCCCACGAGATGTGGTGGGGGTTTACCGAAGAGAATCGATGGGATCCACAATCGACCCGCGCTCGCCTCGAGGGTCGACGCGATTTTTAGAATTTCGAGTACAGAAAAGTCCCTCTAGAGAGGCACGAAAGCTACGATTTTTAATTTTAACGACGAACGTTCGGCGTCGTCGAATCCTCGCTGTAAATAATCGTAAAAAAAAATAAAAAAATGGAAAAGAAGAAACCCGGTCCGAGTCGTGACTCGTGTCGGGCTGTAATTGACTTTGTAATTAATTGTAATTCGATCGACACGAGCGAAGATGAACAAAAAAAAAGAAAAAGGATATATTATATTATAATTGAAAATAAATTGAGACAACTGTATACATATATACATAGATGTATATTTGATATGTATATATGCATATGTTTAAAAAAAGGTAACAGAGATGTATTATACGAGTAAACGTACACACACACACACACACACACATATATACATACATACATATACACACACACACATGTTCGCGATTACGTTTTTTGGAGAGTTCCGAGTAAGCTCAGGATGTGAGCCACGTGGAGAAGGACACACACACGTATCACAGAAAAAATACACACACACACGTCCACACTTGCAGCACCCACATCGCGTCGCGCAATAAAATAAATTCTAAATCGATTATTTCAAACTAGAATGCGTGCCTGAGTGCGTGGGAGACTTATTCCTTCGAAGCACCGAGCTGCTCCCTTCTCAAACACACGCGATAGCTGTTCAAAAATTTTTCAAACTCCTTTTCCACCAGTTCTAACATTTTTAAAACGAGTCTCCCCCTCCACTTTTATATTTAAATTACGATTGGAAATATTAAATTTATTTTTTTTTTTTTGAATGCTACAAACGACATTGTAAAAGTTATTTTGCAATTTATAGTTAATATTTCCAGTTTTTAAATCATTATAATTTCCTCTAGAAATTTTGTTTTTCCCCCAACAATGCTATCTAGGGATATTTTTTTTTTTTTTTTGAATGCTACAAATGACATTGTAAAAGTTATTTTGCAATTTATTGTTAATATTTCCAGTTTTAAAATACTTATAAATTTCTCTAGAAACTTGTTTTTCCCCGAACATTGCTATATAGGGATATTTTTTTTTATTTCGAAGCTTGTAAAATAACATGACGACCATAAATGACCATCGATAATTACAACAAAATATTGACAGGGGTTTTCGATGTTCAAAAAAAAATTCCAAAATGTTTTTCGATGGAATATCTGTCAATGAACGATTCGCAATGTTTGGGAGACGCGGCTCGGTGCATCGACAGCGAGAGAAAAAAGACGTAAACTTGAATATAAGTAAAAGTAAAGAGAAGATTATTATATTATATGATCGTAGAGATAATTGAGAATAATGCGTCGGATCCTTTGTCGTCCAAAAGAGCTGCAGTTGTGTCGCGCAGATAACAAACTTAACCGGATGAACGGCCAAGGCCCGTGAAAAAAAGCAAGATGGCGTCGAAAAGGGATCGCGAACGATGGCCTCGAGCGTTTAACCGCGACTGAAATAACAATTTTTCTCTTTGAAATTGTTCCCTCGTTCCACTCAAAAACAGAGAAAAAACGATGTTTTTTTCCGAGTTCGTCGATCGAGAAAAATGATCGCCGATTTAAGCGCTCGACGCCATCGTCGTCGATCCACGGAGAGTATATCATCGAGAGTATCGAAATAAAGGCAAAAGATGAGCAAGTCCGAAATTAAACTAACGCGTTCACTGTCCGTGCCCCGTATATGGGTCACGTCGCTGTGCTATTGGATAGGCTGCCGAGAAACCGGACAGTGAACGCGTTAAAGCTAATCTCTGGTTGTTTGGCGAGCACTTTTAGCTTCCGGGGGAGGATGTTCGCGAGCCATTTCCGGGTCTTCAGTCTCGAACTTCTCGAGTCCTCGTTCGTGCGATCTCGATCCCCCTGGATCCCCCAAAAAAATCGTATTGTTTCTCGAGACAATATGTTCGATCTCGAGCATTCGCCGAGCAAGCAGTCTCGAAATGCAGCAGGGGGGAACGTGAGTGCGGAATAAAACTGCTCGACACCCTTTGTCCTCCGCGGGAACAAAGGCAGCCTCGTCGAAGGTGAAAAGAAACCGCGAAAGAAGGGTTTGTCTGCGTGTATGTCGCGGGCGTAGCGCGACAGGATCGAAGGGATCGCGGGCGAATCGAGAACGGACGACCATGGGGAGCGAAGAACACGATAACGAGTCTTTCAATTCACTACCGTACTGCCAATTTTTCTCGAAACGACGCGTAATAATTTTAGTAACGGGTTAAGGCGACGCGCGAGCAAAGATGGCGTCGGTTCGTTTTTCCTTCGCGTCGCTCTAGGACTCTCCTGCAATCTTTCACGGAGGGACGAGGGTTCTGCTTCTCATTGGCGAATTGATCACTCGAAATAATACTCCCCTTTTAAATTTTTGCTCGAGAGCTATGGCTGGTTAATTATGGGGGAAAAATAGGTGTAAAGTCGATGAGAATTTTTTAGTGATAGTGGTGTAGGAGGTGGTGTGAGGAGTTGACACCATTTTGTCCAGGGTTCGAGTCCTGTGATGCATAGAATATTTTTTTTCTTTTTTTCTTTTATTAATTGTATTTTATTGCATTCCTTTTTCATATTCCATTAGAGAAATTTAATAATATTGACAATTTTTATTATTTCTTTTATTTCTAGTTTAGTTTTGTTAGTAAATTTAATGGGGATTGAGTCTGATTAGGAAGATGACCATAGCTCAGTGGTCAACGTAAGAGGCTAGTAATATTTTGTCCAGGGATCGAATCCCACAACATTGTGAAATGTTTTTTTTTCTTTTTTATTAACTATATTATATCGTATTGCTGTCCAACAACTCGATTAGGAAGATTTAATAATTTTTACAATTTTTATTATTTATTTTATCCTAGTTTTTTGTTTTTTTTTTGACTTTGTTAAAATCAACGATAATTAGATGTATCATTCCCTTTGTAAAATAATTGCTGATGGTGCTCGTTTACTAGATTCGTCGACCCCCCCCCAAAAAACCAAAACTGCTCCCCCAAAAAATTAAAATCAGTGAAGAAATCGGTATCCGGTTGAGGAAATTATTTTTTAACCGTGGTTCCCCCCCGTGTCCCGTCGCTTTTGCCCCTCGATAAAAGCGAATGAAAACGAAGCAAACGAACGAGCAATGGAGGGGGGTGAGCCAGGCGCTAACTAGAAAAACGTGAATTCGCGTCGCGCGATCGATTCGAGCCCTCTGTTTCCGCTTTGTTTCGCCGATTAAAAGCGTCACCCTCGTTCCCTCCGTCGGTCGCGTCTCCAAAGGGAGGTGGCGATCGTTTTTTGTAACCAGGACACCGTCCACAGGACCTGTGAGCGTACCCAGGATCATCGAACGTTCCTCGCGCTAGGTCGTAATTATCATTCACGGTTTTTTGTATCCGGGAGAGGCACACGGGAGTTCCAAAATTGTCCACGCCACGACGCCTGTCTTAGAATTTTGTGAAACGTTCCCCTCAAAACGCGCGTGGCGTCGAGCAAAAGTCTCCGGACGCTGTTCGAACGAAGACAAAAACTGTGGAGATTAGTAAAAATTCTGCGAATCCTTAAAATTAAAGATCCGTTCCCCCTCTAGATCCCCATTGGCTCGTAGTTTCGTAGCTGGTAGTTTCCCCCCATCCTCTCTTCAGACGCTGTTTAGCATAGCCACGGTGAAAACGGTCCTCTCTTTTCGCGGACGCTAGTTTTTTTGGGATTTCCCCCTCTTCCCGGTTCCGTAATTAGATTATTGTACGCTCGTGTCACGTGTCGTCGAACAAAGAAGCGATCGAAAGCGCTGACCACGCGGATATGACGCGCGAGAGTCGAAGGCCGTCGAGATTCCCTCGATGTTCGTATATTTTCTTAATTTAAACCCGCGACACACGTACGTCGCTTCCTCTTCGAACCTACGATCGACGAGATCTTTAAAAACAGACCTGGGGGATTCCCTTTTACTTTGATCGAACGCTTGCAATGCTGGTCGAGCATTTGTCAAGCATCCACAGTGCAGGGAAGGCTTGGCTGGTCGCTAAGTGTGGTTTGAATCGTTGTGAAATTCATAAATGGCGTCAAAAATTCAGTTTTGGGGGTCCCTTTTTCTAGGCGAATGCTCGTCGAGCGTTCGTCGAGCATTCGCCGAGCATTCATCGAGCATTCGTCGAGCATTCGTCGAGCATTCGCCGAGCATCCACACTGGAGTAAATGCTTGGCGACCACTTGTCCCTTTTCCACTGTGGAATGCTTGGATGTTCGTCGAGCGTTCGTCGAGCATTCGTCGAGCATTCGCCGAGCATTCGTCGAGCATTCGTCGAGCATTCACCGAGCGTTCACAGTGCAGTAAATGCTTGGCTGACCACTTGTCCCTTTTTCACTGTGGAGTGCTTGGACGTTCGTCGTGAATCGTCGAGCATTCGTCGAGCATTCGTCGAGCATTCGTCGAGCGTCCAGACAGCATTAAAGGCATGGTTCGAAGAGGGATCGACGATGGTGTCCCGTTCCACAGCGGAAGACTCGCAACGAGGGTCGA